AAAATTATCTAAATCTGGTAATCTTGGTGTTTTTGGAAAGGGTGCATATTCCCCTATCTATTAATATAAGATTCAATTTCTATTTTGCAGTAGTTAGTGAAATATCTGCCAAAGGAAGTGCAAGTTTGTTTCCAACTACCTCCTATTTTTGCGGAATTCCGGCTTCGTCTGCACTATCCCTGTCCTCATCCCACCCAGAGAATGATTCATATATTCGAGCATAAAAGGTCTTAAAATTATATAAATCTGGCCATCTTGGTGTTACCTGAAAAGGCATATGTTCTTCTTTCTATTCATATAAGTTTCAAATCTATATTTGCAATAGTTAGGGATATATCTTGTCCAACTGCCTCTTATTTTTGCAGAATTCTGGCTTCGTCTAAAACCCTTCCCTTTCAACCCACAAACAAAGTTTCAACCGCATCGGACACGTACCTTTCGAGGTATAGTGGTTTGAAGATTTCCCCTTTAATGTCACGTGACTTGTCTCCTGGTGACGACATCATCACATGAGGTCAATATTCCTCTGACGCACCCCCTTCTCAAGACACCTGCAAGATTTGAACCCGATTACTCTGGTACATCAGGAGATATAGGGCCTTCAAGAGTTCAATTTAATGTCACGTGACTTGTCTGGTCATGTCATCACATAAGGTCAATTTTCCTCTTCAGCACTCTCTATTTAAGGTATCTGCAAAATTTGAACCCAATCGGACATGTACTTTAGAAAACGTAGGGCCTTAAAGAGTGTATTCTCCACTGACATTGGTCTGCCAACCCCGTGTTATTTGCATAATCATAAATATGCATTGCACACTAAAAGCCAAAAAATCTTTGATAATATCTAACATAAGAGTAATCGATTGCACATTTCACATTTTCTGTATACAAAATATAAGAACAAAGATTGCAGGACCACTAGAGATGACATCTGTTGCACTGTCCTGAACATTTTGGCGCAAAAATGAATTTCACTTTTGATAACTGTGACTAAAAGTTGAACTGTATGATATACACTTTAAAACTACTCTGCTATTCTTTGGCAACTGTCACCACGCTGAATCTGCAAGTTAAGGGCCTGATGTTGTTATTGACTTCATCACCCGTCCTGTTTGGGGTTCAGGACTTAATACGTCCCCACGCAGATCATCGGGTGTCACGCGCCTTTTTAATCAA